GACCGAGAAGAAGGCTGCCTTCAAGAGATAGCTTGGGAGCAAAGAGCCTTCAGCTCACATGCGAGATGAAGAAACGCCCAAAGGCAAAGCGAGAGCGAAAGTAGCATTCGGTGAAAGGCTTGGCGGTGTGTTGAAGTCAGATTTTCAGACGAGAGCCTTGGTGTACAGCCGCTGCTTCTTTAGATTGGAAAGTCGCAGCTTCGACTGTTTCGGCAAGGGTTGCGAATGCCTCTAGAGAGAAAGGCCAGTGTCCAACTGTCTAGCGAAGACTCCGGACACGACTAAGATTAACCTGGAGAAAATGTGTTGAAGGGCTGCTCTCTGGACTGTCGTGTATTTTGCCGATGCTGAGATCCTAGCACAAGATCCGGAACGTAGGAAACAGTGTTTAACGCTTCTGCTTCCACGACACGAAAGGAGAAGCAGTGATGGAAATTGAGTTGTGTATTGCTATACGAATGGATCAGGGATTGCTAAAATGGTTGATTGTTGTTTCACCTGCATTTGCGCTAATGAAGGCAATGAACTTCTCTTTCCTTTTCTTGCTTAATTTGATTTTTCATTAATGCTGAAGGTTGTAGTTGTGATAAATGTTAAGGCAAACTTGAAGTTAAAGACCTTGTCACTGCTACGCTTACTGATATAGCGCCCGCATTGCTACATTTGATTCATCGTTCCATGCATGATAGCCCGAAGCTGCTGAGGATTTTTGTCTCCGTCAGTTGGGTTTCAAATATTGCAGTTGCTCACTGACTAGCCTTTCTAAAGAGCACAAGGGCGGCCAGGTTGATGCCAATTCTGGTCTCATTATCGCACGTTTCGACGAACTGATCTTATACATGTTGAAGGTCAATACGGAAGGAAATTAACAAGATGTGATTAGCAGCAAATAGCAGGATCTTAGCCAGACATCTTCAGCGGTAACATTTTTATGGCTAAAATTAAGGACTCGGTCAATGCAGTTTATGAAATTGTGAGCAGGAGGAGTGGCAAGATATAACCTTGACAGTGACCGACATAATTTCGAAAGGCATCGACTGTTTGTCGCTCACCTAAAAGCTGTCCTCTGAGCAGTCATAGTTGGATTTGATGGTAAGCAGCAGCTGACCATAAGCTCAGCAATTAGGCAACATTCGCAGTTGCTTCAACGGGACTCTCTGCCGTTGATTTTTTACATATTTATTTGGCAAACATTTGCGTTCTTTCATACTGTGAGCTTTTTAGGAGATCTAAACTCATACCATCCTTCTCTGACCAAAGCGAAGGCTAGACTGATCGTCCTGGAGTTTCTTCCCTATCATTTTACGGCATCTCGTTTCCAAGCATTTTAAGTAGACCTTACTGAGGAAGTTGGCGAAAGAGTTGCTCAGAAGTTGTGCAGGCTTTTGACTCTGTGCTTGAACGATGTTTCTGTCGTGTTTTTGCCGCCGTAACACGAATGGATAAGATCTCTCTGGATGAGAAGCATTGACAAGGAAAATCTAGCAAGCAATGATGGTGCGATACGTGGCGATGAGGATCACGGGCCTCGGATCGAAAATTTTTGCAATTATTGTGGGCTATAGCTCAAAAGTTTTTCGCCTGCCGGTTGCGAGGAACATGAACAACATCTTGATAGACATTCATCACATAAAGAACTGAGTCATATGATAAGTTACAGACACCGATCAGTGCCCCATTGACTTTGCAATTGTTAAAGCGGATTTTCTGCCATTGGCACCATTACGGTCACGACACGGAAAGTCGTGCACGCGTCCGCATTCATTACAGGCTTGCACATATTTATGACACAATAATGCATGATTGACGTAATCCTCAATTTATAGAAATGACAAAATCAATTTACAGATATGGGCAATATTATTTCACCAACATGTGGACAGCTAGATCATCCAAATAGGCCAAAGAATGTTACATAATATGCAATGGAACTGTAACCTCTTTAAATGATCCTTCAAGACGAATGTTGTTTTCTTCTTTTTCGTTTTCATCCTTCCTTTAAGGATAGATAGCCACTATGCAGCCGTTGGGAATTGACGTTACGTTGTCTCCAAATCTTTCCGTCCGGATTCACACTCAGAGCGTCCTTCTTGTGAGCGGATTTGTCTAGAAGTCGCAAAGGATTCTGGCATATCCTGACCATTCTTGCCTTGTTAACCGATCCTTTTATTGGGTTCATTATGAATTTTCATCTTAGGGAAAATGCACCGTGTCATACTCCGCCTTGGCTGAGAGTTATTCGAATCATTGTCGCTGTTCACGACGGAAATGCCAAGGCTTATGTTTTGAAGAATATGAACATGTTAATATCTGTGAGCACGTGATTATCCGTTTTACTTGTTGGCAGTCTTGTCTGGTTGCTGACGGTTAAGTCCCGGTCCATATAGCAATAAAGCTTGGTACAAACCAGCTATTGCAGAAACTATTAATCGAAGGCCATTTGCGTTACCGCAGAGTACGCAGGAGAGGGACGGATTGAAGCATCCGCTGTGGTCTGTCACCTTACTGATCAACAGGCAACAAATTTGTTTGCATTGTGTATAGTCAACCTGTTGTTATGACGCATTTTAAACTCTTAAAATAGTATTGCTTCACTTCGAGTCACACCTGTGGGCGAAGAAGGGGCTGTTTGATTCCACAGTGTTGCCCGACATGTTCTATGGCTCTAAACGCTTCCTCTATTAAATATGAAAAGAACATACTAGTTTCACTGAGGATCAGTGGAACAAAGAATGTGCCTAGCTTCTTTCCAGCGTTACATTAAAAGCACACAAATTCGACAATGGAGTGGTCAGTGCCATGTCAGTGCCTTGTACCATGCCAAGGTAAGATGGACCGACTAAGTGGATTGCCTGACGGACAACCGGCCAACTCCAAGTACAGCAAAATTGTTTCCACTGGTCCACAGATGTCTCATCGGTCGTCCAAAAATATGCGGGCGGAACCCAATGGTCATGCTCCTTTGCTAGCGACGAAGGCAGAAAGCAAAGAACAAAGATGAGTACAGCACACCTTGCATTTGCATTAGTATCACATGACGACGTAGCAGTAACGATGTACGTGCTATTTCCATGAATTTCAGAAATAAATTCTTTCGACTGATTGAAGCTCAGAAATTACTAATATTTGTTATGAATTCTTGGGTCGTTTTTCAAATACTACCTACCATGTTTATGCACAACGTAAAGTGCCGAAATACGTTGAGGACGAAGAACCTGTTACTTCAGTCCACACGTCTCACTAGCAGTGAGGGTGATATCTGTCAGTATGGCGCCTTTTGTCCGATAATGAAACGGGTCGACAGAAAGCACTTGTTTAAGATTGCCGTTCATTTTGCATTTTTCCGTTTTTCGAGTTCTTTTAGGTGTTTTCCAGTGGCGGATAAGTCGAATTTGCGACTCCGACTGGGCCGTCGGTCTCCGTTCATCGCTCTCTAGCTATCTAACGCCTTTGTTGTGTTCGTTTAGCAAAGCCGACGGCTGCCGACGAGGATTAGTTTTCAAGCCACCCAAGTATTTACAGTTGGCTTCGTCTGTCGTCCGTAATCGCTATTTGAAGCCCATTGTTACGGCAAGCGGTCAAATCGACCGATAACCCAGTTTCAACTTGAGCCATGGGACAATGGATTGAACAAAAAGCCTTTGTTACTGCCCAGAAACGCTCGCCTGCCGTTAGACGGTCGGTCAACGTCGATGGCGTCACAGTTTTGGCAAGTTTCAGCACAAAGCCACCTTGCTTAGGAGCCCAGGTCGCATACACGTAGTCAGATATGACCGACGGATGTGAGCCAAGCCTTCCGTCTTACCGACATTGTAAAGTCGACTGCAACTTGAGCACCTGGCATGGACCGAGCACGCGTCTTCTGGAACGGATCGGAGCCTTGACGTGAAAATGCGGTAAAGCGGATCGTCGCCCGGCGGGCGTCCGTCCGTCTGTCCGTCTACACGTATCGAATGGACAGAGAAGCTGGTGCGAACACCGCCGTTGGTCGAAACGGAAAATTTTCATTAATTTTAGGACGAATACTCCGCTGACCACAACGCGACGCATCTGTCCGCTGATTAAATTTCAAGAGCGCATTAATTAATAATGTCTAACAGACAGATGCACTGATAAGATTCGCAATTCACTGGCGATCGGCGTTTGTTCGGTCTGATTGTCCGAAAAATAATCCGTCAAATTACCTCTGACCTTATTACCGACGACGGGACAGAGGCCGAAACTAGCTGCTGAAAGTGACGGCTGTTCGATGTAAAGTGCCATGGCCGTTTTACGTGCACTTCCTCTGACGATTTTATAAGCGGCGATGTAATTGGTTAATGATCTGTTAACTTTCTGACGAATGCATTTGATTTGCGAAAGACTTTGAGGGTCATGCCGGAGATTGGCTAACAGAGTAATTCGTGATGCACAAACCCGGCCAAGCAATAAATGGTAGGAAGCCCTAAAATAAGAACTTCATTCACCACGGAGCTTTCGGCGTTTCTTTATCAGCGCGAGAGTCATGACCGATCCGTTTCCTGACCTTCCGTCCACCACCTTAGTATGATTTGTGAAACGGTATCACGTGGGCACAAAGTGGCAACATTTATGGAACTTCAGTTGTTTTATTGAAACTAATCTGTCTGTGAGATCTTATGCACTTTTCGGCAAGTGTACAAAGCCATGACCTAATTTTGGCCAATTATTTCTCTAGGCTTGCTAGAGTTCCGCTGATACTTGGAATATTTACCGATTTATTATTTTAGGCAGTAATAGTACAGGACTTCTTCTCACACCGTAAACAAAAAATTGTCCGGGTTGAATATAAGCTAACATAAGGGGTCGGTTTAATTTTGGGATATAAAATATGCCAACCACCGATATCCATGCGCAAGAAATTTGCTTCAATGTGCCCCAGTGCAACCGAATGAGAACGGGTCAGCAAGTTGACCACCGGCAGGCCCTTATTACAATATTACAGCATGCTGCGTTGTACTCTAGCATCTAAATGATAGGGCTCGTGAGGCTTGCAGTCATTCTTTGATGCGCCTTTTCTAAAAGGTGCAGGTCACATTTACCAACCCTACAGCATGTTCACAATCACCACAAAATGAAATCCGCAAACTGAACAAAATTGAATTATTAACTGAGCTGAAATATAGTCTACATGGAAGAACTTTTGCAGCAAGCTTTCTGTAAGCTTTCTTTCTGGTCATGAGCCTCCCGACCATCATTCCAATAACCAGATGGAAAAACACTCCAGATTTTCATGAGCAAAGTTTGGCATGCAATGCTGTAGATATCGGAATAACTCCAGAGAGAGACAGTCAAACAGCTGAAATAATCTGAGCAAATGGTCACATGCTGCGAAGGACTCCAGTGGAGAGTTTCAGTTGCTCCCTGGAAATGGAAAAGATTCCATGAAACTGAAGGAGTAAAAACAATCGTGTTGTTCCAGGAGGGTATGACGGAATATCTCAAGAACTATCACCAAATCTGCCTGCTGTCACAGCTCTACAAGCTTCACTAAAATAATCACCAACAAATTATCAACAAGTCTGGATGACCAGCAGCCAAGGGGTCAGGCAGAATTCCGGTGGAATTACATCACGACGGATAACATCTTCACTTTAAATCAACTCGTCGAATGCGCAATGGAATACCAGTTCTTCTGTACGACAAAGTGCTCCACACTGTAGAGCACAACGCAGTGTGGATTGCACTGTCAGAACAAGGCATCGATACCAGATACATCGGCCTGTTAGAGGAAGCGATCTTTGACTGCTTCACAAACAGCATGCTGGTTTACACCTGACTCCAAATTCCCGTAGAAAAGGAGATGAAACAGAGGGATACCATCTGCCCAAAACTTTTTACTGCCTCTTTAGAAACGACGTTGAGGAAGATGAACTGGAAACGGGGGATTGACATCAACCGTAAACAGCTCGGTCCCCTACGTTTCACAGATAACCTCACAGAGAGCTATGGAAAGAAAAATGTTGTGAATCTCACTTTGCGACCACATCGACCACACGTTGATCAGACTGTGGATGGGAGTGAAGGACGTCGTCATCGAACGCAGAAAGGAGAAGCTACGGTTGGCAGGGCACTTAGCTAAG